CTTTCTATTTACAGATACGTAGGCAATAGAATGTTTTAATAGTTTTATCCTACTTCCCTTAATTTGAATAAAATAAAAGTAGGCTAATGCGATTACCATCTGTCTGTGTGTCTATAAATTTTCTCCCACTCCCCAGATCAACTTTCGAATGCCTGAACCAGTCTCTATGAAACTTGGTATGTATATCATGGCACATAAACCCATCTCAACGTCCTACTCCGTAAATCCATTCCATCAGTCTGTGTGTCTCTTTGTGTATCTCCTTATCGTTGCTAGTCAACGCCTCGGTAAAAACGTTACCGCGGCAACAAATACATGCGCAGCGACAGAAGAATTGTATGGCGCGTCGTCTTCTATGCGGTCCAAGTTGTATCAAAGGAAAATAGACAGTAGTACCTCCTAGAGCTTCTTATTTAATCTATGAGCAAAATTTGCTTTTTAAAACATGGAACGGGGCCAGAAAGTTACGAATTCCAAATATTCTTTGGCTTAATCGGAATAATGAGATATAACTTCTTTGGCAGAACATCAGAAAGAAAGAAGTCAAGGCTACTGGATGACGACGGGCCAACTGTTGTTGTTCTCTTTGCATCTGACAAGTTCACGCGACAGCCATGTCGATAGGTGATAAGGAGGTAAAAATATAGACATAATTTAGCCTCCAGTGACAACTGTGCACAGCAGTAATTGATAATTAGTTGTTATAATATCCGTAGGTATGAGAAGTAAATACAAGGTGAGAACAACAGACAGGTTCGAGACTACTGACAAGTTTTCGAAGAAGGAATTCTGCTTCTCAGAAACGATGTATCGTACACAAATTCCAGTGAGGGAAAAGATCTTCAAGCTTTAAGATGGAGCTTAGAGAGATAGGATGGAATGATAAGGTTTGGACTGAGCTGGTGCAGGACACGGACCAGTGGAGGGGCTCTTGTGAACTCTGCAATCAACCTCCGGGTTCCAAAAAATGTTGGGAAATTCTTGAGTTGCTGAGCAACGGGTGAATTCTCAAAGATGGCTCAACTCCATGGAGTTGGTTACAGTTTTGTTCGCGGCCGCATGGGTAGGTAAGGCAAGTCTGAATATCCCTTCCAACGCAGGTTCATACTGCGTTAAATTCTCTTCGTGATCAGAGGCAATACAGGTCTGAGATTGACGAACAGCTTTTCGAACTACAGCAGAGCATTCAGTAAAAAATTGAAGTTATCTTGAAGTTTAAATGAGTGGCACGTAGGGCTATGATAAGTCAGGGAAACAAACGAAACATTTGGCAGATCCTGGGAATCCCCTTGCTCTTCGACTCACATTTATCGATCGACTTCAAGTCGACAGTGTCACGATGGCTATTGTCAGTCAAAACAGTTTAAAACTGAAGAAACTGGCCTACCGGTAAGGCTGCGGAATGGTGTTCGACGACCGAGGGGACGGAGTTCGAGTTCCATTAAGGTCAAGAATTTTCATTTCTGCATGTCACCCAGACCGACTCTGGGGACCACCCAGCCTCCTATCCAGTTGGCACCGGGGATAAACCGGCCGGGGCGTGAAGCTGACCACTCCCCTCCAAATAGCGTCGATGTCAATAAAATGTGGATCTATACATCCACTCCCTCATAGGCCTTCATGGCGTAGCGCTTAATTAGTTAGCAGAGGGATAACTTTACTTTTAAGTATAAAGTCTTAAATGTCTCTTGATCAAAGACGGTAAGAGATACGCTCAAATTTAAACTTACGCCTTGTCCTAAGAACCAAACCTTAAATTGATAGTGCTCTAAATGGTGCCTGGCTTACATAGGCTAAGACTCTGCTACATGATTCTTTAGCGCAAGGGCTGTACAAATTTGGATTCCATTTTAAACACAGATCTTGCCCTTATTCTTGGTGTAAAGCAGGTCATACAGCCAGGAAAAGTAGCGGTACACATCGAAAACTGTTGTGGTTTTTTTCATTAGCTTCTTTGTTTAATTGGGTGCATCTTTAAACAAGCATAACGTGTGGGGAAGTGTGTATCTGATATCAAACTTTTGTTTTACTTTTGTTTCCATTTTTTTGGGGGGGGGAATACATTTCACACTGAATAATATTTAGTGTTCTACGGCCGAGATTTCCTCAGAAGCTCATGTAAGTCTTCAAACGAAATGATCGTTCTCATTTAACCAAAACTGGAACGTATAAACCAATTTTAGTAAAATTTTCCAATATCAAACTTCAAGAAAATCCACAGAATTACTGGGTTTTGGGACTTTTTCCCATCGTCCGGTATTGTAGATAATAGAAAACACGACGTTTCGGAAACTGGATCTGTTTCCGTCCTTAGGTGAAGGGGAGCCCCTTAGAAAGAGCTAATCTCAATCACTGTACAACCCCTGTCAGATTTAGACAGTTATTTAACCACTTGAGACCAGGATAATCCGGCGGGAGATAAGAAGGAAATATACAATAAAAATTGTGATATAGCACGCACATGCGTGGAACTGGGGCAGAAAATGAGGTAGAAATTTGTTTTACAAACATAACCAACACTTTCCGAAACGTCGTGTTTTCTATTCTTTAGAATACCGGTTGATGAAAAAAAGTCTAGAAAACCAGTAATTCTGTGTGTTATACACCATAGTCAGAACATTTTAAAATCTACTTAAAGAAAATGTGTTTACCTGTTCATGTTACATGCTGACCGAGAGACACAGGAAAGGTAAAAGGAGTTTTTTTTTTATTTTTCTTTGCAGATGTGCCAAAAACGTAGCTGAAATTGCGAAAAGGAATAGAACACGAGAGCTCAGCGATACAGATTGTCGTCTCGCGTAGGGCCTGAGGCGGACGAATGTAACATCAGCGTCTGAGACCCCGCAATTTCGAAACGTCTGCGGTCACTTTAATAGGAAACTTAGAGAGCAGTAAAATCTGCAAACATTAGGATGTATTTCCTTGTCTGCTGATCTTAAGGTGTAAGTTCACTCACGATCTGAAACCTAAACCAACCTGCTGCATATTAGCAAATGTCGCATTCATTTCGGAAGTCATCAGTTGCATATTCCAGTTTCTGCGGATTGTCGTTAGTTATTATTAAAATACACCACATACGAGGCTGAAGTACAGCTTGTAACAGAAAACTGATAACCTCTGCTGTAAATCTGGTCAGATTCGTTGCTGACTTATTCACAGTTCAACCGTGCAGACCTACACTTCAAATCTCACTGCCTTCCCTAATTAAAGTAACAACATAATTCTAGGAGCCGGGAAGGCGCATTCGGTACAGCGACTGGCTACAGGCTGGACGATCGAGGGCTCGGATTTCGAGTCCCGGTAGGGTCAAGAATTTTCTCTTCTCCACTTCGTCCAGATCGTCTCTGGGCCCACCCAACCCCCTATCCAATTGGAATCGGAGTCTCTTTCCTCGGTGTTAAAGCAGCCGGGGCGTGAAACTGACCACTCACGTCCAACTAATCTTGAGATCAAGAAAATGTGGATCCATACATCCATTCCCCCATACGCCTTCATAGCGTAGTACTTAATTAGTTAAGCACAGGGACGACTTCACCTTATCCCTATCTAATTGCGGGTAGGTGCTTGATAGTGGGACAAGGCACAATTAACAAATTTGAACGTAAAAAGTTATACAAGTTAAAGTTTTTGCTGTGCTTAATTGATGAAGGACAATGCCATGAAGACGTATGGAGGAGCTGAGGCATATTTCCGCCAGTTTTGACCTCCGGAACAGTTGGAGTTGAGTGGTTAGCTTTTCGACTCTGCCGCTTTGTTACCGAGAAATCTCTGCCCGGTACCCATTGCGCAGAAGGCTGGATGAGCCCCAGAACCGGTACGGACCCTGTGGAGAAGACAGAAATCTTGCCATGAAGGGAATCGAACTCCCACAGTCCAGCCCGTAGCCCGTCGCTGTACCGACTGAGCTATCCCGACCGTATGACTTTTAAAATGGGCATTATCTTCAATTTCATCATTAACTCTTGTACATTCATTATTTTAGATCAAATATTTGCAGTTCTCTGCCTGCTTGTTGAGAGGAGGTGTGTATCAGTAAGCTACTCACTTCATAATAAGCTGATCACACTCGTGAAAGGGATGCAGACTCAAAAAATAAAATAACAAAAAATGGCTCTGAGGTCGGTTGCTTTTCACGTATTTCGGCTTGCTTCTAACCAAATTTGAGAGACACACACTCCTTTTTCTCTGTGTTTTTTTTTTTTTTTTGCTTCAGCTCAAATGAGTTCTTGGCTACAGTAACAAGACGCTTGACCCTGCCCTACTCAGGCAGGCCTATGTCCTCGTGTATCCCTTTTGTGTAGATCTGCGCCAGTGCCATCCAAACAAACGTCATTTGTTACAAAAGATTTACGCTTATTTGCATTTCGTTACAGTGATTACAAACGGCCGGTCACAGTAGCCGAGCGGTATGAGGCATGTATTGTCTTCGCTCGCTCGGAAGCCGGGATCGTGGGTTCGAATCTCACACAAGGCATGGATGTTTGGTATGTGTATGTGTTTATTCTGTGTTTGTGATGCCCTGTGTTTAGGTAGAGGCCTTGCGATGAGCTAATCACTCGTGCAAGGAGTCCTACCGTCTGTAAAATGATCAAAATGAAAAACAACCTTGACACCGGAAGGTATAAGAGGAACACATTAAATTGGTAAGTAAGATTATAATAAACGTAATTTTAATTACGAGAGCGCGCGCAAAGGAGGTAGTGTTTTGCGGAAGACTCTTACAAGACGGCATGACATGTTGAAACTCGTAAACAATGTCAAGTTCCTTAAGGAGAATACCGAATCCCAAGTTAAGTATGGAACTAGGTCCCTCTTAGAGAGACAGGATGGGGTGGTATGGACTGGATTCATGTGACTCAGGATAGGGAACAGTGGAGGGCTCTAGTGAACACGGTAATGAACCTTCGGTTTTCATACAATGTCTTGTTAAATTCTTGAGCAGCTGCGCAACTGGCGGCTTCTCAAGAAGGGCTCAGCTTCGTTTAATTGAATTCTCTAACCTGCGAGATCCGGTAGCCGCGGGTAGAACATTCCAGTCCTGGCCAGCCACTCCAGCTGCATGTGCTGGAGGTGTTGTTGGTTCCCCACGGGGCCTGGCCCACCACCGCCTCCTTTAGCACCACCCCCTGCCGCCTCCAACGGGTGGAATGCCGACCCTCCCGTTAGAAGTTGGTGGTGATGATGGTTAGGGTAACCGTATACAGCGTGGTGATTGAGGTGATTCTGATGATTGGCAGCGAAGAACGCCGCAGCAACTGCCGATGACTGGGTGGTGGAATTGGAGAGCAGTCCAGGTCTTGGAATCAAGTGTGGGCTCGAACCTAGCACTCCGGAGTACGTGTCCACTGACAGGGCGACATCTTCCGAGCCGGGCGAGATTGGCGGACTGACGCTGTGAACGGACGTTCCGGGTGACTGGGGGGACGGAGTCCGAGGCGATACGCTTCTACTGATAGGGGCGTCTTCGTGCTCCTCACCTCGAGCTAACAGGGCTTCGATACAGAAGGATTTCTTCAGTGTAACACCACTGCTGGTATTGTTGTTATTCACACTGTTGGCAGGACTGGCTCTCTCTAGTGCTGTCGTGGCAGCCATTGTTGTAAAAGTACACGTCTTGTTCAGCCTGCTCTAGTCCCAACAGTGCACCGTTTGGCTAAGGCCATGCGTTACAAATCATTTCAGCGGTCCACTTACGACATGCACTAAAACACTCGAGCAAGCGTTTGTTTTCAAGCACTTGTCCTACTACATATAGATCATACAACGAAATTCGGACAGTTTCCACCACGTCTCAGAACATATAAATGATATTAAATTATGTTATGATGAAAAACATATCTCATTTCAATAAATTACGTATGCTGGAATCGAACCGAGGAACGAGTCACGCGCTTCACGTATGTCGCCACATATCTATCTGACTGCCTCGTCTTCCCGCGGTCTGAGTTCATCATTAAACCTGCCCCCAGCGTGGAACAGAACACTACAGTCTGTGTGTTATTGGTACGCCTGGCCCGCCCACTCGATTACCATTGGCTACGGTTCGCTCAATCTTCCCGCCCACACATTACGCAACAAACCGTCCCCCCAACAGTTGGTACTTCGCCTCTGATGCTTTTTGATGTCTGGCAATTGTTTCCATTACGGACACATTTGCAGACTAACGGTTGGCGGGTGATAAGACGGTATGGGTAGAGCGCGTGATTAGGAACCTGGGCCGCAGTTCCTTGTGTTGCTGGCAGATACGTCACAGCTGTACATGCTGTACAAACGTCAAGGCGCAGGTTGCACCTCCTCCGAAATGTCGATAACGATCAACATGAGGTTAGGTACCAGAAGACACTAATCTTCATAGACCCTTCTCTAAGAACCTCAATTTTCGCAAGAAATTGAAGCACCAACAATTGAAGTTAGGAACCGGGATAGTTCAGTCAGTATATTGACTGGACGGCTGAGGGGAGTGGGTTCGGGTCCCGATAGAGGCCTGGTTTTTCTCTTCTTTACGTCGTCCAGAGAGGTTCCTATCCAAAGGGTAACACGGGATCTTTCACCGGGGGTAAAATGGCCGGCGCGTGAAACTGACTGAAACTCACTTTCAACTATTGCCGAGGTCAATAATACGGTTATTATATTGTCATATATAATGGGTTAGCGTGACTAATAATTGTGGGCTCTAGATTTGGTGATTGCACTTATTGGATATCTTTCTTACAGTTACAGTTGAGTATAACAGCTCACGCTTTGAACTCCTTATGAACGACGTCTGTTTGAGAAATCTCTCGTTGTTGTCTGAATCTTGAAGAGAGTCTAGTATCTCGAACTTTGGATCTGGATGTCTTTGGCTCGGACTGAACTAATTTCACGCGGACCGAATATAGATCAACAAGTCGGATAGTTGATTGTCCTATATTATTCTCTGTTTCGTCTGTTGCCACGAAACGTGTGACAATCTCCGAGCAGCGCTTTGATTTATACAAGCGCATTCGTTACAGTGGAAAAGTGTTTCAGCTAGCCGTTGTCTAGCAACGGACGTTTCTGCTGTGTTTGTCTGACTGCACACTTCAGGCGTTCAGGCGTCATGTCACAATATGTACCACCCGATTTAACATACAGAAACTCTACATTCTGAGTGTATCTCTGTGTTTCGTGTAGTTCTATACTATAAACAGCGATTTTCCCCCCAAACAACATTAACCGGTGATTCCTATGAGGTACGAACTGAATTTGTATATATCTCTTAGAAGAAGTTCAGTCTTTAAAGGATCAGCGTAATTGGTTAAGGCACCATGCTACAAGCCGCAAAGTCGCGAGTTCGATTCCCGATGAAGTGGATTTTTTTTTCAATTTACCTAATCCTACAAGCCGCACTATGGCCTTGGGGTAGACTCAGCCTCTTACAGAAATGAGTACCAGGAGTATTGCTAGGGGGTAAAAGGAGGCCGGCGCATAAGGCTGACAATCTTACCATCATCTGTGAGCCGATTGTCTAGAAAAAATGTGGGAGCATCGACGTCTCACAACCTTATGGGCCTCCGCGGCCTGTTACAGGGACAGCTTTACCTTAGCTTTTTTTTTTACCATGTTGCCTTCTATGGTTCCTCAAGAGTTGCAGAAGTTCCCGTTTTATCTATCCGTCCTCAACTGAAGCGTCCTAGCTGTTTTGGAGCTATCATGCAGATCGATATCCCGCCTCTCCAAGTGAGATCGTGACAACTATATTTGAACTACCGGAAGCTGAGACGCCCATAGAGACCCACTTCCTGCGATTAATCCAGACAGATGAGGCGATATGAGTATCATGACACAAGGCGTTACGGGTGTAACTCATCCTTACTGAAGGCCTGTGTAGGAAAAAGGTAAAGCTATCCCTGTAACAGGCCATGGAGGCCCATAGGGTTGTGAGACATCGATGCTCCCTCATTTTCTAGACAGTCGGCTCACGGATGGCAGTCAGGTTGTCAGCCTTACACGCCGGCCGCCCTTTACCCCGCAGGAAGATTCCTGGTATTCATTTCTATTAGAGACTGAGTCGAGCCCAGGGCCATAGTGCGGCTGGAAGGATTAGGTTAATTGAAAAATCCAACGACCTCATTGGGTATCGAAACCTCGACCTTCCGGCTTGTAGCATAGTGCCGTAAACAACTACGCTACCGCGTACCCCAATAAAAGTTAAATTAAAGGTAAAGTTTTCCTTATGTGTAACTGGTACAGTGTTCGAAAATATGCAATTTTTACGGAGGCCGGGGATTCATTCCGTCGAACTCGTCTTAGGCTGGTTTGTTTTTAGCATACTTCACTTATTTCGAAAAAAATAAATAAAAGTAGGTTTGTGGGATCACCATCCTGTCTATGTGTCTCTGTAGCCCCCTATCAATTTTTGAATGCCTAAACCAATTTAAAAAAAAAAAAACTTTGTATATAATTCATGGCACATGAACCCGTCTCAAAGACATATTTCATGAATACCTCCCAGCAATGTGTCTATATGTGCATCACCTCGTTGCTAGGCAACGGCTCGGTAGGAACGAATACACGCGCAACAATGCAAGAAGTGATGGATGTGTCTTTTTTCGACGCGGTTAATATCGTATCAAATGAAAGCAGGCAATTTGTTCTCTCCAGAACTGCTTGTCTGTCTTAGATTATTTAACGACGCTTTTACTGTCGGGTGGTAAGATGATGATGAATTGGAAGAGATTTGGAAGGAAGCGGCAATGATCTAATATAGGTACTATCCCGTCATTTGCCTAAGTGAGCAAGAGAGACCGTGAAAGTCTGAGAATGGTCGGTGTCCCAGGCGAAATTCGGGCTGAGCACCTCCCGAACACAAGTCTGGACAAACCTGTTCTGTTCCATTTAACTTGCCCTACAGAGTCGTGACAAGTTGGCCACTCGTAATTTTCCTGAAGATGACGGAGTAAAAGGAGGAGAAGCTGGGACCAATAGCGGAGGCCGAGAAGATGCGAAAGAAAGAAGAGGAAGACACGCACTGAAGAGAGAACAGGCCTAAGTGCTCCGTATGCTTTCACAGATTGGCATTTGACTTCACACACCACCATTCAAGTCCAGAACTTTCATAAAAATAATTTGTACCCCTATTACGTGGGGCACGCGGTAGCGTAGTTGGTTGAGGGAATATGTTACAAGACGGAAGGTAGCGGTTTCGAGTCCCGATAAGGTTGACTTTTTCAATTTACCTAATCTTTCCAGTCGCACTACGGCCCTGGGGTCGAATCAGCCTCTAACATAAATGAGTACCAGGAATCTTCCTGCGGGGTTAAGGGCGGCCGGCGCTTAAGGCTGAAACCTTGTGAGCCGATTGCATAGATAATGTGGGACCCTCAACGTCTCACAAACCTATGGTCCTCCATGGCTCGTTACAAGGGTAATTTCACCTATATACCTATTATGTAGCATACAATTAACTAAATGTAATGATCAGTTAATCACTCCTCATTAACGTAGACATATTTTTATAAATTATGTAAGCAATTCTAGCTTTTATTTGTTGCACAAGAGTGTAACAGGATGTGAGGGGAAAATGTAAATACGATTTCCAAATATAAAACTATTGCTCCGTAAAAATGAGCCTCTCTTGATATATTAGGTCTTAAATTTTTGCCAGAATAGTCAATCGAGGAACTACAGTGAGGGACATCTCTATATTCTTCCATTATTATTATTATTATTATTATTATTATTATTATTATTATTATTATTATTATTATTATCATTATCATCATTATAATTTTTTTCTTTTTTTTTTTCATT